AATCATTTTTAATAACATCATTGTGTAGCTTTGTAACTTCAAAAATGTTCATTCTGTATGAAAACGCTGCATCGCCAAAGAATACTGAAGAAAGATGGTAGGTTATGAGCTCAGTAAAGAAATATAGGAAAATGTCTTCCGTTTGGTCACAAGCGTAGGGCAAAGAATGAAAACATTCTGAGTCCCCTCGAGGAATTGTATCCTGCAGCACCAACTATGCAACTACGTAGCTATTTCATCCAAAAAGGAACAGAGATAATCGCGTAGATAAATAAAGAAAACGTGATACGAATTTCACGCAGTTATTTCGTAATTTTTGTAAGTTTGTAGAGGTTCACTTGCAGATCTTAACATGCAGCCTACATTGACCTGCGCTTGCCATAATCCCCTTTACACTGTAACCTTCACCTATTGGTTTCTCATGCCAGCCATCATCTATCCCCTTTAAGAGGTTCGTCATTGTAGTACATGTCAGACCACATACTACAATTAGCTTCCTTGCTACTGGAATAAACATTAGCATCCCACCAATTATCAAACAAATTGCGGTCGAATGGCACACTGAACATGACTGCTACCGTCTATTTGTCTCCTGGTATTTAGAAGGTGATAACACCCACACTTCCTCTTGCCAGACCAGTTGGTTTGGTTGCAGTGGACAACGCTGCTTCTCCGCTTTCCACGAGCTCGGGTAAAATATAGAAATATGTATTCATTGCACTCCACTTGTGAGATGTTTCATTGGCGATGCCAACGGCAGTTCCTCGCTTTGTGAATGGCATTGACTCAGAAACATCTTCCAGATTTTTTGGGCCTAATTTATCAGCTGCTATCGCAGGATCCATCGCGTTTTTCTGTGAGTCAATAACACAAAACCCAGGTTCAAAGCATATTTAACTGAACATTAATTAGATTTTCTTCAATACGAAAATGACACGACTCGGTCGTAATGAGAGGGAATTGAGTGTGAAATTCAGGACTACCGGGGCTTGAGCCTTCTACTATTTTGAGATCTTAAACAATTCTTAAAATCCCGATGAGATGAAAATTAACAACAAGAGCTACAAAGTTAATCGCTTGAGATACAGCCTTTCGCATCGTTTTCCCCTTTTGAACTATTGATAACATAAACAGGGCTAAAAGGAAATTTTACCGTGTATAAACAAACAAGGGCTATGCATGACTTGCTTAGAAAAGTCCGATCTATTTTCCTTTCAGAGACTCAAGAAATTGTAATATGGGGCATTCCGCATATTCAAGTGATAAAAGCTTTTGTAATTCATTCTCCACTTTGCTGCTGCTGCACTTGATTTACGATGTACTCAATTAAAACATTTTTGCGACTTAANGCTGCTTATGAACTCCTTTGTCTGATAGTGGAAACATTTAAGGTATTCATCTTTCGGCGTTCAGAAGGTTCTATATAGAATAAACTCTCAAAGACTCGTCAATCGCAATGGAGCACTTCGAATACTCGAAACACTCTAACTGAAACTATTCAAAAATAAATTCTAGTGGTTTTAGTAGACTCCGCCTTCTTACAAAATCCGACGAAATGTTCCATTCCCTTGTCGAAAGGGAGGGTGTGTCCATTGTGGTGTAAAAATAGATGGAAACAAAACACGATTTGTCAATAACAATCCACCTCTAACTGAGTAATAAAATTGCAAAACACTTCCGTGGGACAAAACCTTTTAGATAGCCACAACACACTTATCTGTTATCAATGGAACTTGGCCTATTAAATGCAGTGTGTATTGAATTTCTTGGGTTTTATAAGAGAAAAAGAGAGAGGAAAAATTAAGCATCTAGTATTTGTGTTACATTCTATAGTTTTAATTATTTGCTAGAGCTGTATAGGGTGAATTTTAAAATGTTTCGTGCCATCTTCATATTGTTCACAGAGTACTGTGTGGCATTAGTGGTTTTTTCCCAATATACGCCTAACTGCTTATCAACCCCTTTGAGTGATATTAAGATAAGATAAGATAAGGTATGTTCACATAAGTCAAGAGTTTTATTAAAGTGTCACAAATACTTTGGTATGACTGCTGAAAGGGAACAATTGAATCATTCTCTCTACGGTGTCCAGACAGCCCATCCATAGACTTTAATTAGAACAGTTTCCGGAACAATCGTCAATCGTGGCGTTAATGTTTACGGTTTGTTATGTATAGTTACACGCATAGCTGCTTATGAATCCCTTTGTCTGATGTGGAAACAACTAGTTCATTCATCTTTCGGCGTCCAAGAGGTTTTGAAGGCACTTCTGTAAATAACACATACCCTCAAAGAGTCGTCAATCGAGGTGGAGCACTTCAAAGATTCGAAATAGTCTAACTGTGCTTCCAGGCCAAACCCACGAATGCGTTGTGATCTCGGAAGAGAGAATGTGGACATTTTGATTCAGACAAGCATGGAAAGAAAACACGATTACGCATGAACAACTCGTGAGCAACTGAACAATAAAATTCCAAAACATGTCAGTGAGACAGCACATTTCGACACCCAGAATACACGGATCCATTATTGATACAAGTTGGCAAAAGACACTGAAAAGTTTCCTGTAAAGCGATCAATGCAATGTGTGCTGAAACCATTCAAAAATAAATTGTAGTGGTTTTAGTAGACTCCACCTTCTTACAAAATCCGACGAAATGTTCCAGTCCTTTGTCAGAAGGGAGGGCGTGTCCATTGTGATCCAAAAATAGATGGAAACAAAACACGATCAATAACAATCCACATGACACTGAGTAATAAAATTGCAAAACACGTCGGTGAGACAGTACTTTTTAGATAGCCACAACACACTTATCTGTTATTAATATAACTTGACTCCGCCTTTTTCTGCGTTTAAGGAGAACAAGAAAATGGAAAATTAAGCAACTACCATGAGTCGCATTCTACGATTTTCACTCCATTTGCTGCAATACATAGTTATGTAGTTATATAGTCTGATTGCAAAATGTTTGGTGCCTTCTTCCTTGGCCTATTGTGGACAGTTCGAAGCCGCCTATGAACCCTTTTGTCTGATAACAGAGACATCAAGTCATTCACCGAAAGGCGTCCAAAAAGCTCCGATTACAATTCTGTAAATAAGACATTTTTTTCGAATAATCATCAACCATGGCTGGGGTGTAAATGGCTTGTTATATTTAGTTCATCCCAATCAACCATTGTTTCCTTTCTCTCACAAAGGAAACAATCAGGTCATTTATCTTTCCGCGTCCAGACATTTCTGAATAAACTCCTTAAATAAGGGAGACTTTTGAAGAATCGTTAGTCGCAGCGCAGCACTTGGCTTGAGAAGGTCGGATCAGTCTAACTGTGATTGCACGAGAAAGGCTCGCACCTAACGAAGGTAAGCTCACTCAGTGACACAAACAGGCTATCAGATGTCGGAGTCACTTCAATGCATTCGTGCCAAACTTTTTCCAGGATGGGCCTAGTACATCAAACTACGCAATATTTTTTCACATTTCTAAAGCTGGACTTAATTTAGTTTAAACTTTTGCAACTGTATGGTTTTCTTAGCTCTCTAAGTCAATGGCATATAGGCAATTTTCGGTCACGAAGAGTAAAATCTTCTAACTAGGATTCGTTTTCTTCATTCTTAGTATGAAGAACCGATCTTTCTTTCAGTTTTGTACATCAAAGCTAACTAGGTAGTTAAATCTTATTTACTGGTGATATTTTGCATCTTGATTTTCATTAGCTGTTGAACTTTCCGATTTGACTCGTCCAATTATAGCCTTTGTGTAACGTTACCGAGGAATCCGACTAGAACACTTTTTTACAGAGATAATCACTTAAGAAATTGATTGCTATTAATCAATATTTACTCGCTCTAAGTTTCCTCCAAAAAAGCCATTCTAATCTTGTTCGTTTCTTTTATAGAGTTTACTGCAATCAAAATAAGATGGAAATGAAGATGTGTGCACTTTTGTCATTTTATATCCTGGCCGTGTGTTTCATGGGATACTGTGTATCAGGTATTTACAGAGGCTTTGTAGGAGCTCTTGAGGTTCCAATTTGCAAAACTTTAAAGAAATTGAAGCTAGAGAAGACATTCGGCTGCTATGATGTAGAAGCTATACTCCTAATTTGTCGCCCCTCTGAATTTCAAACAATCTAACACAAGAGCTTTAATGATGTTTTTAGCTTTAGGGAATTATGCTAGCTAGTCAATCAGAGAAACAGTTAAAAAAAAAAAACCAGCGAGCGACTCCATCCAAATGTATTGTCTGTGTGACAATCTATTTACATGTGTATGTGAGTAACGCTACAACCGGAATTTTTTTTTTCCCTCTCTTTTTCGTGGTAAACAACGATTAATATTGTTGCTTTCAACACTTTCAGCCCTCAATAAACATCATAAACGTTCAATCATTCTTCTTTCAAAATGTGGCCAATTTGCTATGCTATGAGACTGGAGATTTGATAAAAGAAAGAAAACGAAAACCTCATTTGTTTTCAGGTGCCCACATTGAATTTAAAGAAGATTTTAAAGAAATGGGAAACGTCAAACGAGACATGGGTAAGCACATGTGTTCATACTGTACCACTGTAGAGTTCCTTGGCTAAATTCGTATCCTTTGTTAAAATTACTTTATTTTAAAAAGCACCTTTGACTTTGTTCGTTCATGGTCTTTAAATAATGAAACCGTTTAGACCCTCATGCAGGAATGCAACTATAAATCCGGCACGTTCGGACACCTCTCTTGCAAACTTACTCTTGAAATTTTCTTTTACTTTTGTATTGAGCAGCTGAACAATTGTTTTGTTATAGTTTGACGCAATTTCCAAGCAAGCCCGTGCAATTTTGATTACTTTTGCACTGACAACCTCACGTTCTAAGTCTGATCTTCGACAAACCCTCATCTAAATATATTAAACCGTAACAATTTCGATGTAGGAGGTGTTCTTGATCTATAATCTTACTGCAGACAAAGAATTTTTATGAGGACCCAGTTTTTGCTAGATCGAAAATTTTCAATATGAGAATCTTCTAATTAGGCATGCCTAACGCATCAATCGAAATTGTTTCCTCTACTTTACCTTGCGTTTTATGTTTTAGGGTTGTTAGGAAGGATCGATAAAGTGCTTTTGCTCCGGATCAACCTCATATTTCATGCACAGAACATTGGATCCAATATAATTTTTCCAAATTCTTAATTCGTAATCTATGCTACAATGAGCAGTTTCGATATACCGTTCAGTCACGGCCTGGATCAGAGTAAAGGTCGCTAAATTCTTACTCTGTTTACAGGTGCCCACTTGGAAACAAGTAACCCTATTGGAGAAACGGAAAACACTGAACGAGAACTGGGTAAGCTTGTTCGTCTATTTATTGACATACAGTTTCGTTTTGCTAATTTTCCTTTAAAAAAGAGTGTGGATAACAATCTTTTCAGCCGTATTCTGTTTGCACTATTATTATCAGTTATACAGTTCACAGTATAACTGAGTAGCTCGTTTTGACCGTAATTGGTTGAATATTTGGTCCTGTGACGTTTGACGGTTAATAGCTTAAATTGACAAGTTAATTTTTGTCATTAAGGCGTTGATATATTTTTCATGAAAGGATAAAAGATTGTGAAAATCTGAAGAAAGCAACCACAAAAAAAAGAGAATTCAAACTCAAAAACGATTCTAGCATTAAACCTCGCCCTCTTCACAACTTAGGCACAACATATACAGATATTCTGATATAAATATTCTTATTAAGACATTCTCAAACATTCATTACAAAGCTCAGATTTCCTTTAATAATTTTTATTCAGCGAGGCAACATCAGCAGAAAAAACGAGTGAACCATGCTACAGTGATAGATGCAGCCTCGCTGACCAAAGATGTTCTACAAACCCTGCTTGACGCGTTGGGGTCGATCGAACGCAAGATTGCCATCGGCATTGCCAATGAGACACCTTATGAATGGAGGGCTCTCAATACATACTTTCGATCTGGTACATCTGATGATCTTTTACCCCCATTCGTGAAGAAAGATCAGGCGCCTCTGTATACTGCCAGGAAGACGAACGGCCCCGTAGCTACAGGATGCGTGGCTGTAATCGCCTATTACATGCCAGCTGTGCAGATGACCGTTGGAGTCATGTTCAGCGTACCATTCGACCAAAACTTCTACAGAAACTGGTGGAATGCTAGGGTCTATCCTGGTGAGGTGAGAGCTAGTCAACGGATGTACGAAGATATGTACTACGGAAATCCCTTTAGAGGCGATAACGGCTGGCATAAGAAAGATATAGGTCATGGGTTTCACATGGATGGATCAATGACCAGTCCAGGAAAGAGTGTTATGGAATTACATATCACTTCCAATTGAATTCTCACGAACTTTTGTTTTTGGTATATTAACATGGTGTAGTAACTGCGTGAGAGTTTGATCACTTTTTTCATTGTGAGCACAACAGTACTTTATGATTACGTAGCCATTAGGCTTTTTTTGCTAACGTTTTGATATGGTATATACATCCATTGCTAGTGGATTCCAATTCAGGTTATAATTTCAAATTAGCTTATAGTACACGCAAAAGTTAATTGAAATTATGAACCTAATTTATCTTGAATTGTACGATGTAAATTCTTATTATCAATTCATTGTGTCAACAAGACAGTGCAAGAAACGCACTTTGGAGAATTTGAGGAATTTGTATTACTCGTCTCACATCTATTCTTGGACCCATTCACTTAATTGTTAACTATGGCAGTTGTATTGGTGTCCTGGTTTTTTATATCAGTACTGCTAAATTGTTCGTTAGAAAGTTAACAGAAATGTTTTCTTCTCGCTAGTTAATTTCATCCGTTTTCTGTTTAACGTTGAAGATCACGAGAAAACTACATCCCATTTTGAGTGGTCATTATTCGCTAGCTAGTGTTGATTAAAAAACAGTTGGTACTAAGATTTAATTGGCTGTTGAACCGTCTGATTACAGGATATTTAATCGATTGGTTTGTAACAATCAATCAGCCAACTTCGTAAGAACTAATAAGATTCGAGCACTTTGTTATTGGCACAGTGAAGTTATAATGCTTCGCGTTAAGGGTGTTATAGTTTGAGCAAAATTTTTCACGGTGTAAACTTGTTCTTGATAGTCTGGTATATGACTTAATTGTAAGCTTCGAGTGATAGGCGGTATTGTAGGATATTCACTTTGAGCGCGTGTGCTGTGCAGTACTTTTTATATCGTTGGTAACCATGTAGAACAAACTTTTAGCACATTTCTTCATTAAAACTCGCTGTATTGATGGAAATTTTCCCTTTACTTACAACAGACTGTCTATATTTTGAAGCAATTTTTTTTCCTTATAAAGATCTCCATCTTTCTTCCGGCCTCCAGGCGTAGTAAAAAATGTTGCTTTGTGTTTAGTAGATGCTTTCCGTTCTGTTGGACTGCTCTTCCATCTACAGGCAGATGAAACATGTGAAACGACAAGAAACCGAACTAAACTAACAGTTATCTCTAACATCTGTCTTATTTAAACCACCGCTTGAAGACGATTAATTCTCAATGAGGGGGGCTTTAGGATTTTCGATTTTGCGGTTTTGACTGTTTTTTGGATCGGTTTTTCGGTTTTTGGGCCAAAAAGGTTCGGTTTTTCGGTTTTGATGTTAGAAGCAGTTTGCGGATTTTACGTGTTTTTGCATTCGGTTTTCGGTTTTCACGAAAACTCTGATGCGGTTTTCGGTTTTTCCTTTTTGACCTCTTTAAAGGTGAAAATGTAGCGGTTTTGTCAGATTTGCATGCGGTTTTCGGTTTTGCTGCCTTTTTTCGTCGGTTTTTCGGTTTTGGAGGTTTTTTTCTCCGGTTTTGCGGTTTCCCAGAGGCCCCATTGCCCCCCCTCCTCAATGCATTGCAGCCAACATATTTTTCAGCGGAAGTAGTTAGAAAGTTGTTCTGCCACCTTTCAAGGCGAGTATTCAACGATATGTTCGATGAGGCTCTAATGTAAACAATAGGAAAGATTCGTCATCATCATGTCGCAGAAACTAGAGTTTTCGTGCTTTGAGCCTGCGGCATAAACCAAGCATTAGGACGACTTCTCAGTGGTCTTCTTTTGTTCACACTAGCAAACATTTGTGTTCCATACTTCTGACGTCTGGGATCCGTTTCCGATTTTCTGAAAGTGTAAAAGACCTTCTAATGTTTTGAAAACCTTGAGCGTATGCCGGCCACGTGGCGCAACATAAAATCGAGAAGAGGCTTGCTCGTGCATATGTTCTTTACAATTTACTGGAGATTCAAACCCAAACATTGCATGGTTATCTCGTTTTCTTTAGTATGCTACTTCCTCTTGTGCGTAACTGAGGAACTGGCTTGAAATTAAATTGACTCTCATTTCCAACATTTCGTGATTTTCTCAAAGAACGGTTTTCAAATTACTTCATATTGTGTTTTTAGCAAGAACCTAAATGAGCTGATGCATGCATTACTATTCGTTAGTATTGCCAATTCTCGAAGACAAGTTACGTGACTCAAGCTTGTTGTTAATAAGTTCATCTTTGATTAAGATACTGCAGAAATTAAGCATTTTGCCGAGAGATATCCATTCTCCTGACCGTGTAAGAGCGCTCTACTTTTGCCACGCAGTTATGGCGGAGCACTTCGGTAATCTTCTGTCGCTCACCGGTTGAAGATATCATTTGTTTGCGTAATAAGAACTTGTAAAATAATCATTTTAAATAAGGAATTACGAAGGAAAAAAGTTAATAAAATTCATAACTACAGTGAAGAGATTTAGAGTTATTCAGTACATCTTAGCTTTCAAACACAAATTCCCGTTTGCTTCATTCAGGGGCATATGATTCTTTTTGAGCACACCTTTAGCCAAGTGCAGCAACAAAATTGAGAATGGAATATCGAAATCATATCAGTTGAATATGCCTTTACACTTTGTTAAATCTCTAGAGTAGCAATCAATGTGTGACGCTTTTAAATTAAAGGTCAAATCGAAACCGTGTCTTCCTTAAGAAATCATGCATAGTGCTTGACGGACAAAGTCATATTTTCTTTATGACATGCAATTGCTCGTATTTACGTGTAGTTTTATAGCAAATAAACAATGATGTGGTGTACGGAATTTTGATAAAAACAGATCAAAAGTGGTTGGTAAGAAGTAAATTTCGCGTCGGTACGGATAATGAAATGTGTTGCCCAAAAAATGTCTTACGGGAAGAGGTAACGGACGAAATGAAATGGGAAAATTAAAACAGTTCAATTTTCTTGAAGTCTGATAGATATCGAACACAACCCAGTTGATTTAATCTTCAGATGGCTTTTTTGTTTGTCACAGCAGCGATGTAAACTTAGCCAATCTATTATGCAAAAATGACAGGAAATAGGGGTTTTCCCAGAGGGACTCCATATCTCGCAGAGAATTATATATTTATCGCTCCCTGCCCAGTGGCGTGGACAAGCTCTAGATGAAATCTAAATGCAACACTCTCAGTCCGATGATTTTGAATATCGATGTTGTCTTCCTTCTACAATCATATTGGCCGAAGCTAACAATAGCGTTTTTACAAATATTCCTTTTTCCGAGTGGCTGAGTATTTGTACTTAGTCTAGTGGGTAAGACCGTGGGGTGCCCCCTGGGGGAGATTCTGTCTCGTGTCTAGGCCGACCTTTACATAACGGTCTGCGAATTACATAAGAAGTTGCTGCCGCGGGTTTGAAGGGCTTAAAAATAGCTGGTCATCTGAAATTCTCGCTGGATTGATTCCTTGACAGCAGAACTTTTATAGAATGTTTCTCCATAAACTTGAAGGAAAACTATCTGGCCTTCGTGATGCAGAGTCTCGAAGCAAGGAGACGTGGTTTATTCTGAGAATCGAGCAATATTTGAGAGCGGGTCAGTCCGTTGGTCTGACGATGCCTTCCTCCCGTTTCCTTCTTTTTAGTACAGGCTGTGACGGGATGAGAACAAGGCTAAAAATCTGCGAAATGGCCTCAAATCGCATCCACAGAACAAAAGTATGACAAACAACACCATCTGAAGGTTAGATTTTAATTGCTTTATAATTCACGGAGTTGCAGAGCGGAGCCTAAACTCCTATACAAAGCTTTGTGATATTGTCCTCCTTTCAGCAATATTCGGAAAAACAAGGTGGTTCTGAATGATATGCCTTGGGATATTTTGGAATTAGCTCAGACACCTCATAAGGCCTGGAATGCTATTAATAAAGACATTTTTCTAACCGTGACTGATAAGCATGCCGTCTGTCATCAAAAGTTGTGTCAGCCATTTTGGGGACCTTAAGCAAACCAGGACGGCGACGGCAACGAGGACGTGGAAAAACAAAAGATCTAATTAGCAGAACAATAGCTCAGCGCGTGCATTTCAAAACTTAGTACATTTCATAGGCGTCCTTTGCAAAACAACAGAGTGAAATCATCAATATTTGCGTCTTTTGAACAACGGAAACCGCGACAGCAGGTTGTTTTAAATTCCATTTGGAACTCAAAGCTACTTTTAGACGTTATTTTGAGGTTGAGTTGTGGCGCCGTATGAGATGGTAAACACATGCAGCCATTTACCAGTGAAATTCTAATTAAAAGTATAAATTCATTTTGTAACCGACGTCTTCCTTGGCGTTTCCGGCCTGACTGCTTAAGGTCCCTCAAAACTGCGTAAGACTACGTAAGGCTATTAGGATGAAATTAAGAAAAAGAGGAGCCTCTATTATTCTACTAACCTCTCCAGAGACTAGGACTCAGGACACAAAGCACTGGAAGTCAAATATCAGCATCTAAATTTAACCAGACTGAGTTCTTTACCTCAGTTGCCAAAAGTCTATGTGCTTATTTAAAGAAATGTAAGGGAATAGCGAGTTCCAACAAAGAGTATCATAAATGTGCATTTTATTACGTGTTTCCTCTTCGTTTTTATAATCAAATATTCAAACATGTCACTAAGAAAGCACGTTTCGACAGCCATGATTCATTTATATGATATTATCGACTTTACAAAGAAGCTGAAATGTTTCTCATCAAACAATCAATGCAATAATTACTGAAACTGTTCACAAACATACTCTAGCGTTTGCACTAGATTCCCCCTACTTATAGTACTCGATGAAATGTTTCAGTCTTTTGTTAGAAGCGAAGGTGAATCCATTTTGATGTGAAATGCAAACGTGTCCCCAAGTAGTTTTTCTAAAGCTAAACTACCTACCTACCAAGGTATCTATTATCGATATAACATGTCACTGAAACAGCACCTTTTGAATAGCCAGAATACACTTATCTGTTGTAAATTATAACAGAGCGTTTTTAATGCAATGTTATATTGATAGGTTATGATGCAGAATGTGCTAATTTGCAACGAAAATAGATTCTTAAAATAGATTCTGGTGTGCGTTCTAAACTCCACCTTTCCCTGTGTAGAAAGTGGAAATATTAGGCATCTAGTATTTGAATCGCATTCTTGGGTTTTAATTCTTTCAATGCAGTTATCTAGTCTGACTGCAAAAAGTTTCGTGCCTTCTTCTCAGGACTATTGTTCACAGAATAACGGAAACAATTAAATCATTCATCCTTCAGTATGCAGAAGGCTTTAAATACACTTCTGTACACGGGACAGACTCTCATAGAGTCCTTAATTGCAGTGAAGCACCTCGAGAACTCGAAACGGTATAACTCTGTTAGAACGCGAAACTCACAAGAGAGCAGAAATTCCATAGCATGCGAACAATTGTTTCGCTTTTGAAACGTGGCGTGATTTCCAAAGCGAAGACGTGTCAATTTTGATGTACTTTGGAATGCATGGAAACAAAAAAAAATACAATTCCGTAGTAAAAAGTCATAAGCAAGTGCTTGATTAAATTGCGTAAGATCTTAAAGACACAGAATGTTTCAACGGCCACAATACGCTTATCGATATGGCTTGGCGAAAGAAACTGAAATGTTTAAGTCACTCCCTATTCGGCGTCCAGACAGCCCTGAATTCAACCCCTTTTGTATTCTATAGGAAACAATTAAGTCATTTAACTTCCGGCATCCAAAAGGCTCTCAATTCAACCCTGTCAAAAGAACAGCCTCTTGAAGAAATGTCAATCACAGCGTTGATGGTTAATGTTCATGATTTTTTATGTATAGTAACACGCATGGCTGCTTATGAACTCCTTTGTCTGATAGTGGAAACATTTAAAGTATTCATCTTTCGGCGCCCAGAAGATCTGCATTGAGCAATATCTCAAAGAGTCGTCAATCGCAGTGGAGCACTTCGAAGACTCGAAACAGTCCAACTGTGCT